GCGCATACAAATTCCGAATCTTTATTCCCGTTGCATACATTCCAAAGGCTATTAGACTTAATAAATCTCTCGAGGAATTGTTTTGTGTATACGAAATTAGATAGTCCTATTTTCAAGAGATAGTAGGGATTATTAAATTATAGAAAATGTACTTCTACGATTTGTGTTTATCTTCGCTTGGAACATATCTATGGCATGACCCAGTTATTGTAATCATTCACAATTACTGTAATGTTTGTATGTAATATTTAATGTCTTAGTCACGAGTTATTTGCGATCATCTAATTACATCGAGACGCATATAGGTGACAATTCTACATTGTCATTTTTAATTGTATTAGAATCCAGGTGTCCTTTACACGTGGTTTCTTGTCGAGGGGAACAACGTGAAACCTATTTTACAACACGATCAACACGAGCGCATTGTTATTGATAATAACGCATCCCAGTAGCATTCTTTCTATTGCAAATAAGCAGCAATTTCATCGCGACGCTATTGCATTCTTTGACTGATAGAGACATCCACGCGCGCGCACAATAGGAGTTAATATGCGTTATTCCGCGTGTCACGTGCGCATCGGCGTCTTACTTACATAAATGCTTAGTTACGGGCGATTAAAACGAGCTTTGAAGATCGCGATAAAGGCGTCCAAGTGGAATTAGATAGATCCTTATATCGTCCATATCATCGTTTTAGAAAATTCTGCTATCCTTTTACAGCCCGGTTGCATGTTATCCGGTAGACGCAATAAGCTTCGTATTTAAGACCCAGGAAACGTTCCTCTCTATTTGCTCCGCGAGAAAGATTATTTATGAGTTACGTCTTCGTTGATATTAACGCGTTCACTGCCAGATGAAAGCTGTATAATATTCCGCAAGATTGAAATTTCGATTTTACACCATTGTAACCTACATAACCTAACATTTGTTTCGGTACTTGTTTTCGTAACCTTGTTAAAATTCACAAATTCCGTCCAAATTCATTTCCCTCGGCGTGTTAACTTGAGAATTAATTTTTCTAGTATCATAGAGGTAAATCCTGTCACCTACATATGTTATATACATATGTTAATGGGAAACGCAGCTAAAATATACGAGACTCGCAAATCGGGAAAATATGAAAATCATTTGGTGAAACCTGTGTTGTTCGAGCATTCTATTATCTACGTATATTATATCTATTTCGTACCTCTAATTGTAAGACGCGGTATCAACGATACGAACAGAGACTGATCAAGATAGAGATGATTAATACACGATTTGTCCGAAAGTATCAGAGCTTCTTTCGTACAAACACCACCTAGTGGCAATATTTGATGAAACAAGATGATATTCTTATCAATGAATCTCCTACGATCACTCTGATTTTAGATACGAAGCTTGGATTCAGACTCAGCGATCGAACGTCGGATTCCAGGTCTATTTTGGCTTTAATTTGCCACCAAAAATAAAACACATGGCCACTCGTGGCAGTGAAAGTGTTAATTCTTCTTTAAATCGCTTCTAAACAGTGCAAATACACATCTCAAATACGTATGATTCGACATGATCCTGCTGGAGTCATGTTTGCAGTTACTTTTATCGCTATTTCGTTGGTAATACCCTTAAGGAGATATTATATAATAACAAATATAGGATTTTTTATTTTTATCAGCGAATGATCGTCCATGTAGTCCAAGGCTTCGATTAATTTTAAATACTTTTTCGAATACTCGACTCGAAGTACGTGTTAACTAACCTTACTATTTTTCTATAAAATGTAATAGACGTTTGTATAATCGCGTTGAAAAATAGTAGCGCGTCCATTTTAAATTTCGAGAGCAAAGCTTCAACTTTGATTTAATTACGCGCAAACGCAGCAGATCGCGGACGATAAGATCAGCATCGATTAATTTAGGATTAAACGATACTAATTGCTTTCGCGTGACAGCTATTACCGATACAAGTTAATAATTTAGGATTTAAGAGCAATTAGAGCTGCATCGAGATAATAGAACGTATAAACTTTCGTGGTTCTCGCAACGAGTTTCAATCACTGGCAGTAATTCAGAATTTTGATATTTGTCGATTTGTTCGATTCTTTATTTACCATCAGATATATACGAAAGTTACATAGAAAATTGTCGATAGAGCTGTATTTTTATTTAGAAATTTAGAACGAGACCAAGCTTTCGGGAATTTTGATATTTGTCGATATGTTCGATTCCTTATTTACCATCAGATATATACGAAAGTTACATAGAAAATTGTCGCTGGAGCTGTATTTTTATTTTGAAATGTAGAACGAGACCAAGCTTTCGGGAAAGTAAATATTAATATTGTGGCCAAACGAGAATCGACGATGTGTTACATGTTTACTGACTTCGTTTGTACCCACGGGACAATATTACGTTTTGTAACCATCGTAAACCTCATCGTTTATTCGTACGCGAGAACTTGTTAAACACACCAAGAATTTTCACGAGATAATGCGAGCGAGGCTATTAGGGAGTGTCTAATATTAGTCAAATAAGTACATTCTTGGTAGGATTCCGACACTATTTACTCTCGCCGAACAAGACACAGCATTCTGCGTACAGTAATAGATCTTTAACTGATCTTTAAAGATCTGACATCCAATAAAGATAATCACAATTAAATTGATCGTGATACGGTACGTTCGATGTTTATCTTTCTGGACATCATGTGATATCATGTGATTGACAAACAAGATTTTTGGTTAACTTGCTTGTTCTACTTCAAAGAAATGTCAACGATAAACCAAATTTTAGATAATCAACATCGATATCGACGCTGATAAAATTAGTTTTAAACTAAAATCTCAGTTGTTATGACACAGAATGAATCTGAAATTTATTATAAAAATTTACGATTTAAAAGGTGATCGTCAATAGTTAAATATCATTTGAATTACATCTGTATCGTATAATTAAATTTTTTATTAAAATCGACTACATTTATCAACAATCTAAAACTACGATCTTTTAACATATTTAATTTTTTAAATATTTTGCTCCGAAAGCACTAAGAAAGTGCTAGAATAATTAGAAATGAGAACAATAAAGCAAATTTTAGATGATAAATATCGATATCGACATTGATAAAATTAGTTTTAAACTAAAATCTCAGTTGCTATGACACAGAATGAATCTGAAATTTATTATAAAAATTTACGATTTAAAAGGTGATCGTCAATAGTTAAATATTATTTGAACTACGTCTGTATCATATAATTAAATTTTTTATTAAAATCTTTTATACAACTATATTTATCAACAATCTCTACCATGGATCTTGATCGTAAAACTACGATCTTTTAACAGATTTAATTTTTTAAATATTTTGCTCCGAAAGCACTAAGAAAGTGCTAGAATAATTAGAAATGAGAACAATAAAGCAAATTTTAGATGATAAATATCGATATCGACATTGATAAAATTAGTTTTAAACTAAAATCTCAGTTGCTATGACACAGAATGAATCTGAAATTTATTATAAAAATTTACGATTTAAAAGGTGATCGTCAATAGTTAAATATTATTTGAACTACGTCTGTATCATATAATTAAATTTTTTATTAAAATCTTTTATACAACTATATTTATCAACAATCTCTACCATGGATCTTGATCGTAAAACTACGATCTTTTAACAGATTTAATTTTTTAAATATTTGGCTCCGAAAGCACTAAGAAAGTGCTAGAATAATTAGAAATGTAAACAATAAATCGAATTTTAGATGATAAACATCGATATTGACATTGATAAAATTAGTTTTAAACTAAAATCTCAGTTGTTATGACACAGAATGAATCTGAAATGTATTATAAAAATTTACGATTTAAAAGGTGATCGTCAATAGTTAAATATTATTTGAACTACATCTGTATCGTATAATTAAATTTTTTATTAAAATCAACTACATTTATCAACAATCTCTACCATGGCTCTGATCGTAAAATTACGATCTTTTAACATATTTAATTTTTTAATTATTTTGCCCCGAAAGCACTAAGAAAGTGCTAGAATAATTAGAAATGAGAACAATAAAGCAAATTTTAGATGATAAATATCGATATCGACATTGATAAAATTAGTTTTAAACTAAAATCTCAGTTGCTATGACACAGAATGAATCTGAAATTTATTATAAAAATTTACGATTTAAAAGGTGATCGTCAATAGTTAAATATTATTTGAACTACGTCTGTATCGTATAATTAAATTTTTTATTAAAATCAACTACATTTATCAACAATCTCTACCATGGCTCTGATCGTAAAGCGACGATCTTTTAACAGATTTAATTTTTTAAATATTTTGCCCCGAAAGCACTAAGAAAGTGGTAGAATAATTAGCAGCCAATAGGCACGCAGATACATATTGCTTTATTATTAAAACACGCCCACGGTGCACCTCGTAATAAGCAACCGATAAGAACCGGTTTTTTGTTACAACGTTTGCCATCCAACTCTATAACATTTTTCACGATTTTCTACGTCACACGGCGCTTTTCCCAAGTGCACGCGTGTCTATTTAAAAACAGAAGCTCCGATAATCGCGGGGGCCAGATAATACAATTTTCCACGTTTCCCAGTCGGCGCAGAACGTTTTCCACAAAACCGGTATCGAATCGTGGATTTCGTTTTGAGAACAGCTGAACTAGAAACTGTTGATACGCCATTAACAGCTGGCAAATTTATTGTTCGCGAAATAAATCTTTACCATACACCTCGTCGGATGAATTTCTATCTCATCGTTCGTATCTCGAGAAATTTGCTCGTCGATCAATGGCGAATCGCGTGGACGCTAACCGAGTAACCTAAAAACGTCGTATCGATAAATATCTTTGCGCATTGTCTCGTTACAATTCATTACGCTCCGGTTTCTATGATCTGTCGCGTCGGTAATGGAAACGCACGCGTACGTGCCCGCTCGCGACACGATTCGTCGCCGAAAACTTCACCGCCCGGCGCCGGAAGAAAAATTGAGAAACTTACCTAAAACGTTACGATGCGAACCGACGAACGTTGTTCCCAGTTGTCGCTTCGTTTTTTTTTCGAAAAGTAAACCGTCGTTCGGTGTAACGAACGGCGAACAGCGTCGACGCGGTGATTCGGTTTAAATTTTGAACGACCAAAAAACCGGATGTTATTTGTTCTTGCATCCGCGACACATCCTATCGGCGATCATACGCACGCGTTACGATCACGAACTTCCTTCTCGCCCCGGTCACCGGATCGGTTTTTCGTACGCGGAAACGATCGGTATCGATACGGTCCCCGTGACACTTTTCTGCGAAGAAACTGAAAAGAAGAGCAAGAGCCGTAAGGGCACGAGCGCAAGCGCGAAGTTCAATCCGGTTTCGTGAGGCTGACGACTGAATCCATGGCAATACGCGATCGGCCATTTAAATGCGCCGTGGTTCTTCGACAGTTTGTGCCGTAACTTCTTCTTCTCCCCTTCCCCCCGTTTCCCGTCTTTAAGGCAATAACGTCATTGGGGAACAATCCGATGGAAGGCATAAAGGACTCTGGCGTGTTAGGCATGCTCGTACCGGTTTCTGCTTTCACGACAATTCCGAATTCAACCCCGACGTACGCCGCGCGCTTACGAAACTCGAAATTCGACAATTTATCGATCGACGGTGTTCACCCGATACGTCCTCGCGCGATGGCTGGGGGGGGGGGCATTGTTTGGATTTCGATCTGTCAAAGGTGATTCCTACCAGCACGCGCGGAAACAAACAAATCTACCGGCAGATTTAATTACTAAGTTCGAAGTAAGGTTACGGGGGCCAACTGAAACGGCGCGGAGATGTTTTTGAATCGTTTGGAAACTACGTGACCGTTGGATTTTCCACCCTCGTGTCTCGTTCTGGTCTCCCCGATAAATTGTGTTCAGAGAAACTCGCCGTAAGCTAGAATATCTTCTTTTTTTTTATTAATCCCATTTTAAAGATTATCGATTGCACCGTTATTTATCGTGGTATTAACTTTTTTTTTTCTATAATGACTTTTCTTCATTTACTTAACTTTTTGTAACAGTCTCTTTTATTAGTATTTCGATTAATTTCCAAGTCTTCGAGTTTAAATATTTTTATTATACCGTCTTCTTTATTTAAAGAATCGTTATATTCTCGCGATGATTTTAGAACACGTGACGCGTTGAGTGATTCGAAAATAATTACACGTTTGTACAAATTTTTTTTGTTTTTAAATTCTTCCCTATATCTAGTAACTTTCGTTTCTTCGATCGAAGAAATACGAACAACTTATCCGTTAGAAAATAATTACGTGATAATAATTGTTTTTACGAACACTCACTACCGTGTGCACTATCAACGTTGTACACCGCTGATAAAGTCTCCCGTTAGGTCTAGACTGAAGATCTGAAAACACCAAGGTTACGTGTCCTACATATCTACAGTCCTCTTTACATATTTACATAAAATTTGAACAAAGATACGAGGAACGCTATGTTGCTACAAGTTACTTAAAAATTATCACGGAATAACGTGGCAGGGATTGAGGAAAAATTAAAAATCGCGCATAGACATCTTCCATAAATAGATAAAATTTCTTATTGGATCTACGGAATAATTAAAAATAAACTTACACTCAAATTTGTACGTAGAGAAGATCGCGAAAATAGCTACAACAGAAATAATGTGGTAAATTTCAAAGAAATTACATGATTCTGAATTATTTATGGAAACATTGTATCGCTATATATATATATATATACACACACATATATATATATATATACACACACATATATATATATATATATATATTTCCCTATATAAATGTAACAAAATAGAAGGTGTTCGGACAACAGTAATAAAAAAATATTTTTAGTAATATTATAATCATATAAATAATTCTACGCGTCGCTCTTTGTATTCATGATACAATTTTCGTCGCGATACAGCTTATGTATAACACGCTATAACAGCACACTGAGAATACTAAACTTTGGAAACCATGCATTGCCCAATACACTCTGATTTATGTCTCATAAGCTTGAAAATGGTTCCATTGTATTTGTTTTATCATTCCAGACGTATTTAAATCTTTTTCGGCTTCGATTCAAATAAATAAATATTCAACCATAAACCGATCTTATTACGAAGAAACAAAACCACGAAATATATTACAGATAGAAAAAGGACAACTGTTTTCTTTTTATCGATATCTCAGAGCACAAGGATTCCAGAAACACGTGACAACCTAACTAAATCGTGGGTCAATAATTTTCTTTCGCGTTGCTAATACGTTTTATAAACACGCACACTGTTCCTTCGTTGCACTATAGTATGAATCTTAATTAAAACGATAAAACACGATATCAAAACTGACCAGATTCGCTGTCGTTACCGAGGATGCATACTATAATGACCTTGAGTCAAAAAAAAAAATAAAAAATACACTCCCGACGCCTGCAATAATTACACACAATAGTATACAGTGATAGTACAGGAATGGTTTAAAAAGAAAGTAATAACACAAGAAAATATGTCTCGTGTGTTTGAATGTTGACTTTTTAATTTAATACCATAACTTAAACGAACGAGTAGATGAGCAGATGACAAGTGATGGATGATCGTCGACGATAGTCTTCGATTATACACATTTTTAAGCTTCTATTATTTTGACACAGTATGTGCAGCCTGGCAACTTATTAACTACCCGTAACTAAGCTCTGAAAATACACAGAATTCCTTGAACGACACAGACATAGGTACTCTCCAAAATAACACAAATACGATAGGTTTCATGTAATCCAGTGAAAATGGCATTATTATTTTCAATACTTTTGATATACAATAATAATCATTATTAATTAATTAGGTACAGGAACACTTTATCATTCGTGGTATTAATTAAAGATAATCAATTACATACAATAAACTGTTATCAGCCACGGTGCATCGCCTCCAGCTTCGGCGTCATTGAATTCATTTTTAATGTAGATACTACATTTCCTCGTCTCTGCGTTTCTGTCAAAAATTTCAAAATCAGTTTTTAGGAAGCGAGCGCCTACGACTATAAAGAATCGAACCAGTACGCGAAGGCCGTTCGAGAAGATTTTCATCGTACGTTCGACTTTTTCCCATTTCTTTTTAATACATTGTATAATTCATCTCCTAACAGAATCATTAAAGCAAAAGAAAGAGAATGGTCGTATATTATCGTCGAGAATTTCGGCATTGAAACGTAAGTGTTCAAAATAACGATGCTGATAATGTTTCTAAGCGTTAGTGATACTAATGATTAAGCTTGCAAAGACTACGATGAAGTTTGGAAAAAAATATATACAAAACGTTCGGTGTATCAAATTTATCCTCTCGATATTAGACCCGCTGGTCTCCAATTTATAAGTATCTCTTAACCTTTTTTTTTCCTTAGGCTTACTTCGATCTTACTGCACTAAAAAGGCACAATTTTTCGCACCTGATAAAACATTGTTACGGTCTAGATATTAATGATTCTTTTTTTTTCACCAAAGTAGTTTTAATCCCCCCCCCCCCACCCTCCCCGCCCCCCCCCCAAACCCACGATGCCAATTTGCATATTGCGCTGTCTATTTTCCAGTATGTGGTACGTTATGCAGGAGCTTATGTTACAATGTCAAATGGGTGATAATGGTGGTACGACAAAACATGATTTGTATTCTTAATATTTTTTTTTTTTCACAGTACCTCGAATGGGCGATATATTACGTATATTAAACAGAGCGTGTGTATTTATAATGCACGTAATATATCCTCTTAAAAACTAATTTGTAATAATGTTCTTTCCTATGTATATCTAGGGTCTATACAGACCTTACTAAGGCGATGAACTACGCGGGCCTTTGTACAGTCGTTTGGAAAACTATGGGAAGTCTTTAAGAGGAAGAAATTATTCAATCAATATACAGTGGTTTTTCTGATGTTATTGCAGCTTGTCCAAATCGATTGGAGATAACCAAATGCAATCACGACGGTATTCCGTTTACGCGAAATTTCTGTTATCGTAATAAACCGTTGCCTTCGTGGAAATTCAATCGTAATCGCACGTAACCGCAATTCGTCCAGTCTCATTTGGAAATGGCGCCAAATTACAATTACGTCGATTTCGAAATTTTCGCTATAAAACGGAACACATTTCATAAAAATCATAGTTGGAATTATGTACATTTCAGCGACACCACGTGCACGTTTTTTTCCGTTGTAAATAAATAAATACGGAATATCAGTGAACACCCGAGGAAACGTTTACGTTGAAATAAAAAGTAAATGTCGAGAAAAAAAAGAAAATGCGAATCCTGTAAAGAATACCATTAATTAAGGATTAATGTCCAATAAAATCTATATTTATCTAGAGACGGTTTTGTTTTTTTTCTTTTACTTAATAAACATATAACGGGTTTTGCTCATTTGACAAATTTTTTGTTTCGTCGATTAAAAAGCACTTGCTCGGTTAACTGAAGCGGAAGAAACCGCTTTAGCAACTTCAATAAACTAACACCGAGTATCGCCTTTATTAGGTTTCTTCTTATAGAAAGCTGGTCCTCTTAAATAAAATTAGTTGCGGTAGTTATTCGAAGTTAGCACGTTCTTTTTATCGAGAGTATCCTTGTCTCAGTCTATCACTCAAGTGCTTTTACTTGCGCCATAACTTTACCCTCCCACAACGGCAAAACTTCAGAATCATCAGTTATTTCTTCTTGTATAACCTTTGTATCCAAGTCCTCGCACTCGGTTTTAAAGAAATATCTAAAAAAAAAAAAATGAAAAAAAAATACAATAAAATAAAAAAAAAAAATGTAAAATGTAAAACATTGTAATTAGCTGTGTAATAACTTACACTATTCTGTGAATGAACGATTTGCAAATAAATCAATCGTTGATCGTTGTGAGCGATTAACGATTATAGATTAGAATTATTCAATTTTACGTACCGATAGCTGCCTCTCTTAGGAAGGTATTCTTTAAATTGTTTTAAAGTGACGTTATGACCAGGAATTTTAGTCCTATAAGGAAACTGTTCGTCACAGAAACTGAACACAACGGTGGTAAAATCTCCAATATCTTGCTTTGTCTTCTTTAACGTTGATTGGTTTGATTGGACATAAGATTGACTCTGCAATGTAGGCTCATACGATGATTGCTTAGAAATATTAGAATGGCGTTGTTTACAACTTGAACGTGCCCTATCTTCCTCAATTAATCTTCTCCTTGCTTCTTCTAATTGGGTTGCCTGTTAATAAAATAGCGTACATTTAGATTTATTACCAATACACGGTGAAATAATTTACATGATATTATTACCCTAGATATCGATTTATGTGTGAATGATATATTGAATAATTCGTTTATATTTACTGTATGAGGTTGCGGTAAAGGCGGCATTCCTGGGTCAGCAACAAAAGGTTGGGCAGGAACACCCCATGTTTCCCTGTTCGTCCTTTCCAAAGAACCACTACGAGATCCATACTTTTTCCCATGACGGCTATGTTTGACATCTTTCTTGTCGGTTTCTTTAAGCCACGATAAAAAACGAATATCTTTGCTAATGGTTGACGGTGGCGCGTCACTTACAACGCTCACACCACTATCGGTTAATTCCGTCATAGACTTCTTTGTGGCTGATCTCCTGGTCATATCTGACCTTCGGAATCTTTGATCGTGACCTACAAAAATTAACAAATACACGCGCATACATTTGACAATAACTTCACGCTAATTGTTAAAATGTTGTTTCTATCGGATCTAACGTGTATACCTTGAAGATACAGGTCTTGTTTATGGAGGGAATCGGCATAATCAGATGGCACGGATTTAGATTTAGGCAAGTGAGATCCTAGTGAACTCATGGAGCCAGCTCCGATAAGATCGCTGCCTTCTTGAAAATCGTGAATGTTACCGCTATCTGCTGAAAATGTAGAGAACACGTCCTTCTCTTTTCTCTGTTTGTACGACCGTGGATAATTGTGCGTAGAACGTCTTCTTTCAGGCGAGTGCAGTCTTGGGGATGCGATCCCGGGCGATCGAGAAGGTGTCAAGTCCGACCAAACTCGTGACACGTGTTGGTCCAGAATCGCTTGATCGTTATCCTCTTCTATCAATAATTTCTCTCTCAATGCATCGGCCAATGCTTTCGGTGCCCCGCTTGGCATCTCCAAAGACACATCCTTACCAATTGTCTCGCTCTCTTGCAAATGCCTATCAAGCTTTTCCTGAGATTCTCTTTCGCGTCTGACATTCTCTAACTTCTCAATAAGCACTTGAGCAAATTCTTCTGGTTTCAGCGGATGCATAAGATCACGTGGTACTCGTTGTGTACGAGGGATGATTGAATGATGCGCCATTGGATCACGATTTAAACTAGCTGAATCTTTTATGGCTCTACATTGTCTTATATACTGTTTCTTACTTCGTTGTTTACCCATGGACATTCCATCGCTACAAAGAGAAAATTGCAACAAAAGTTTTTAGTCATCGAACAATGAATCCGCACACAAAATTAGATACTTTACATTAAAATAGTAATGCAAATATAATATACATGTTTCTTTTTTTTTTTTTATACAACGTACACTGTTATTTTTGTGATATTTAGGGAGTATATTACAGGTAAAAATATATATATATAAAAAGAAAAAAACAGAACACAACATTTTTCTTCATTCTTTGAATTAGAAGTAACAATTAATACACATTCAAGCATTAAATTGTTATTTTTAATGCTATAATTCACCAAAGCAGTTTCAACACTTAGTATAAAAATTATTTAGATATATGAAACATACAGTTTTTATACTTAACATGGCAATGAAACAATGTTGTGAGAACTATTCCGTAAATAAATATTTGTGGAAAATCTTGAAAAGATAAAAGGTAATTTTAAAATCATCATTTCTTCTGCCAAAATCGTTATTTTTTTATGTAATTCTTAATAATACTTTAACGTCAGATCATAGAATTATTGAAGCGAAAGATATAATGGAATACAAAGGAAAACTTATGATAAATTTATCAAAATTAGATAAACATGATAAAACTACTAAATATAGATTAATTCGTTTATTAAAATCTTGCAAGTACTTAATGAATTTTTTTTTTCTTTACGATTAGTCTTTACGTCAAATGAGGATCTAGTTTCTGTATGTTAAATAAAATAAAGAAAACTTACACTGATGAATCGGTGAGAGACATATTGTCTGATTCAGTTCGTGCATCACTGCTCAAGCTTTGAAGTTCTGAATCCTGTCTGGATACTGGGTTGTATGAGGAATATTGTGCGTGCAGTCTGGGTACGAGCATATGATATGGACTAGCTCCATGTTGCAAGTAAACGCTACGAGCGCCACGCAAAACATCAAACCAAAAGAGAAAAAACAAACAGAAAATTGGAAAACGTTTTAATAAAAATATCACAAATTTAAAACATAAAAGAAAAGTAAAACACTCATATAATATGGTATATTTCACAACGTGATATTTTTCAGTTATTTTGCCAATTTGACAAATGCTATGTATATGAATATTTAACATTATACATTATAAAACATTGCAAAAAGTCCACACAACAAGCTCAAAAATAATACTAGCTAAATAAAGCGTTTAATGCAAATCTAATTTTAGGCATTCTAGGTATACCGAATGTTTTAAATAAAAACTGTAGGTGTACGAAAAATATATTACCCAGCATACGCTTCTGGCTTTGGTCGAAGATCCATCGCCCTAGTCTGTTGAGTAGCCATAAGCATATCTTTGGTCAATCTCAGCTCACCCCTCAATTCCCCAGGCGTTTCACTAGCTGAATGTGAGCTATGTATGGAACTAACAAATTCACTGTCTTCGTGGACAGTGGGCAATAAACTTGGCCCGCAAGAAACAGACATTTCTCGACTGGATCCTGAACTAGGACATCCACCAGAGTCTGGATTCTGGCAGGACTGAACATACTGAAGATACATATCAGACCGAAGAAAGTTTGGATATGTAGTCTCATTAATGAGACGTTCAACTTCCAACTGTACAGCATCAAACACTTTTTCGTCTGCCCGCCCTTCTTTAACACGACGATTAGCCTCTTTTCGTACATCTTCTGGTATAGCTAACTGCGACTTGAGGAAGAACTTTCTATAGATAAGTTTAACCAATTGATGTATCCTTTCGGGATCATCTTGTTCCTTGAGACCCTCGCAAGCAAACCAGAAGTTAAGAGGATTCGCATGAGGTCTGCCTTCTTGATCCAGGTATTTTCTGAACAATTCCAAGCCCACTGGATCCTGCAGCAAAGAATGCAGGTTCCTGGCCCACCGCAAGCAAGCAGGTGGTGAATCGCTTTCCATAGTTGTCGTACTACAGCAACCTTCCGGTTCAAATCCCAAAGGTGCAGAAGCATCGCAACCTGAAGCTGTTGGAGTTGCAAGAGAAGAGCGCCTAGGGGTCAGAGTTGGACTCTGTGGACGGAACCTGCTGACGTAGTTTCCTGTTTCCTCCCCTACAATCAAAATTTTATAACAATTTATTTATGTTTACAACATTTCTTTGATAAGAAAATTAACTTTAATTGGTAAGCCGACATTTAGTAAATCAATGTAACAACATGATAAATATAATACCTATATTTCATATAGTAATAAAACCTCTCGCAATCTTTAAGTGACGTAACGTTAGGTTAAGCTCACTGAAAGATTATAAATGAATGTAACAATTTATTAGCGTAGATGTCAGTAAATTTTAATAAATTCTGTTTGACATAAAGTACAGAGTACTGCAATGTCAATTTAAGATTTCTCAAATACACGTATAAAAACATACCAGGCACTGGTGGCCGTGGAGAGTTTTCATTGAAGCAACGTGCTTCGTTCTGTCGAGATCCACTCATCCTATCTATTATGGCCTTCACGTATTATTTTACGTTCTATATTTAATTTAGGCCCACGACGCCTCTTAGTGGACATGGTTAATCCAAACCTAAAATAAAAATAATAATTTGTCATACGAGTAACTTTATATTCTTAAATAAGAATAATAAATAGATCATTATGAGTAAATGTAGATATACATGATTTTTAAACCATGTACGAGGAAAAATTTTTTGAAATGTAGCATTCTTATCGCCATCTAAAATGAAAAATGTTATTCAGGGATATTCCATGTTTTAATTCAAATGGTACAGCTTTCTGTATATTTAACTTTTATATATTTGCATAAAATAACATGTATTTCAATATGTAATAACATACAATGGAGAAAGCATATTCCGTATTCAGAATACTCTAACAAAAGACATAAGCTAGGGATGCTGGATCGATCGAGCCCTGCGGTGAGTCATATACCAATTAAGCACCTAAGGATGGTTTTCCTATCCCGAAGAACTCTAAGGGTGGAGCCTGACAGAAAAACTGTGGGGTAGCTTCTGGCAGTCTGCGCATTGAAAGATGCCTCTCTATATATCCCTATTGGTCTGCGCAGAGCATTTGTGTGGTATTGATCGACAAAAATTATAACGCAATCCATTGAACACTACAGTCAACCCCAACACACAGCTTAGTTTCCAGAATAAAATCACTGCAGAGTAGAATTTTATTTTGACAGGATGGATAGATATTAATAGATCTATAGGGAAAGGTTCCTACACAAAGAAAAGGCCATTATATCCCAAAGGTTCGGCCTTTTGTTAAGATGGACTATAGAAATATGATTTCATAAGCATCCTGTTGCAGCCATTTACGTATTATATACCTGTTTATATAGAAAATAGACTCTAATGTTACAAAATACCTACTCGACTTTACCAAACGTTTTAACAATATATTTGTTGTTCAGCAGCAATATGTATTATCGAAGTAGCTTTAGTATATTAATATTGTATAAAACTATAAATGTTATTCTAATCTAATTACTTTAAATAATTAAATCCGAACTTGAATTATACACTTTCAAAACTAGTATATATTTAAATACAAAGCATCTAGTCCACCTGCATTTATGCATCCTTTAAATAAATAAAGTATACATATATGAAGTACTTCTGTTATAAGAACTCTTCCCATTAGATGTAGTTAAAAAGAATGTTAAGTATTTAATAGCAAAAACTGGGATATACAGCACAAAACATATATATGTGTATATATACATATATATATATGTAATACATGTAAATAGGTTTAAGATATATAAAAGCTCTATGCAACCATAGAAATCTGATCTCTACCTGTATAGAAGGGAAAATATGAAATGAAAAGCTGTCATAATGAATCATCTCACTTCAGTGCACATTTACCTGCGCTAGGGGATGAAAAGGAGTGTACATACCATTTTGCCAACGTTTTCCTACAAGCAACCTTGAAATCTGTATAGCCGTGTAAAATCTATTAGAACCTTTACAAGTTTATTGACCCCGACCACAAGCACCTCCTAATTTCTATTGTTGTAGAACAGAATGAACATGCGATACCACTGTCGACGCGTCTCTAGGCAAACTGAGCTAAGGCTGCGTCCTGACCAGGACCGACGCCACATTGGTACAGGAAGGGTGGAGTAGGGATACAATATCTGATCTCGACAGATTGTAAAGCGCATAGTTCTGACATATCTACTCTTGAAATAAAAAAAAACTAGACGGCTCTGAAACAATATAATTCACACGCATGTATAGATGGAAAGATTATACTTTTCATTTAGGAAAATTCTGTTCACTTCAACAAAATTTATTGTTTAAAAAGTATACAGTGTAACGCACATTTCATAGATTCAATTGTTTTATGTATACTACTTACACGAATCACAAGTAAAAGATAGTTACAGGGAAACCACTAAAGGACATTCCAGGTAGTTTGCACAATTATATAGCATTAGAAGGAAAGTTAAAAACATTTTTCACTACAAGTTACTTTAATACATTGTTCAATGAACCTTGTTATATCATTCGAAATATTTCGATTATTTAAACAAATAAATGTCTATAATTACTGAATCGTAATTTAACATTTAATATTTTTCTACTTTAAGAAAAGTATATATTACAAATTAGTAATTTGCTTAGTTTAATATCACGATTCAAATCATAAGAAAATTGTATAAATGTTCTTGCAAAAAATAAAAACATTTACATTGGATTAATTAAACCGGCATCAACAATAGTTAACGAAAAAATATTAATTTAAAAAAATTGTATTTCTTTGCACCAACTTTATTTGAACGATATTAAATAATAAAGCTGAGAGAATAGAGATAACAATTTATATTCATTTCGCTTTAACTTTATATCTATAGTATAGACATATTTAATAGAGAGTTTTATTTTATTAATTACTTTAGGAGTAATTAAATGTACGATTCAGTTTGTTAATGCATAATAAATTAATATACATAATATTTCACTAAGAATAGGAAGCACAATGTTTCAACCACCTGTAACTAACAGCGTGAGATACAGCTTCGCTAAATAACCGTTACTACTTTGTTTACAATTTTCATTCCATCTGTGCTAATAGATGGCACTAGTTACAATTTACCATCATACGAGATTGTCACGGAATACATTACGAACAGTTTTCTCTGATACCACTAATGTAGCAACACTTTACAGCTGAAATCACTGATTTGCAATCAATTTTTAAGATATACCAACAATTTATTTGTATATACGTGTTATCGATGCGATTACGTAAAAGAAAGATTAGAAGAATTTGATAATTCGATGTAATTCTGTTTCGAACGCATAGAAACTATGCCATATACAGGGTGTTCAGCCACCCCTGGGAAAAATTTTAATGGGAGATTCTGGAGGTCAAAATAAGACAAAAATCAAGGATACTAATTTGTTGCTTGAGGCTTCGTTAAAAAATTATAGAAACATTTCCGGCTGCACGCTATATTTTTGGTAAAGAATTTTTTTCTCGAAAGTGCGTAGGATTTCGGGGGTACGTCTATTCACCAAAAATGATTGCAATTGACCCCCATAATTGAAAATAATTTTTCCAGAACGATTTGAAATATTTTAATTTCGCCGAAAAATATGTCTACATATTCGAATTTTTTTCTCGAAAGTGCGTAGGATTTCGAGGGTATGTGTATTCACCAAAAATGGTTGTAATTGACTCCAGAATATAGAAATAATTTTTTTAAAACGATTTGAACTATTTTAATTTCGCCGAAAAATTTGTCTACCTTTTCGAATTTTTTTCTCGAAAGTGGATAGGATTTCGAGGGTACGTCTATTCACCAAAAATGATTGCAATTGACCCCCATAATTGAAAATAATTTTTCCAGAACGATTTGAAATATTTTAATTTCGCCGAAAAATTTGTCTACCTATTCGAATTTTTTTCTCGAAAATGGCTAGGATTTCGGGGGTATGTCTATTCACCAAAAATGATTGTAATTGACCCCAGCAACCAAAAATAATTTTTCCAGAACGATTTGAAATATTTTAATTTCGCCGAAAAATTTGTCTACCTACTCGAATTTTTTTCTCGAAAATGCGTAGGATTTCGAGGGTATGTCTATTGACCAAAAGTTATTGCAATAGACCCCTGCAAACAATAATAATTTTTTTAGAACGATTTGAAATTTTTTAATTACAGTTAATTTTTGAATTTTTGACGTTAATTTTGGTTTTACTCTTGACACTGTTTTTATGTTATGATACACAATCTGAATAAAATGATTACGAGGAATTCCATTTTTTTAATCGAGCAAGTAAACTAAATTATTAAAAAATAAATCATTTCACAGTATAATTAAAAAGTATAGTAACGCAAAAACTTCTGATTGATACTCTCATTAAAGGAACGATCGTGTGACTTGAGGGCGTTAAATTTGAAGTGAGATTTATTGTCAATATGCTGGAATCAGTCTGGATTAACAGGAGCACTTTACCGTTAATCATTACACGAACGTATAAGATAGGGAACCCAAGGGTGATCCACCATTCAATGTAACATACTTCATTAAAAATCTTCAATTTCAATAATGACGAGAGTACGAGAATAATCATTTCAACGCCCACCTTACACACTTCTCTAATGTCTTCTTTATTTCCTACTTGCTTAATGATGTCTGTCGTTATAATTATTTGAAGCGCAGTACCGTGAGATATAATTATACGCCGAAAGAAATACGTCGCGTGAAGAACTATTAGGACTGTTGCCTATAACGTCGACGATTTTTATGCACGATGAAAAGCTTCGTCCAATTTCAATTTCGAATAAAAGCCAGGTCCTCTCGCATGAATGAGACCGATATATTTCATGGATGTCTTCCTTCGAGTTTTCAATACTCCCGAACCATTCAGACTATTGTATCAATGTTTGAATGGACTTGAAGATTTTAGCCCTTGAAACATTCGAGGCTTGAAACTATTCTTCCCTTTAATTATTACATTTGATAAATAAAAATCGTATCGATACTTGCAATTGTACAACATATCATTAAAATATTGAAAACACTTTTATTAAACCGGAATATTATACGTGTAAGTTTACTTATATTCTTATAAGTTTGTTAACAAAATCGATATTCCTTCACGATGAGGGATAATGCTAATAGAGAGTTTCTACTGTCTTTTATTTAAAACAGACGCCTTTTGTATATTTATATACTGCCTCGGTTTATAAACTTTCTAATCTAAAATTTATATTATATAAATATTGTTATCGAAAAACTCGCGATGTTCCACGAAGCACGATTGCATGGAATTGTTAGACGGTGAAAGTTTCTGGCTAACCCCCAGAATGTAGGAAAGACATCTGGACACGATAGGTACAAAATTCATCTCGAAACGACACGTTATATTCTCCTTTCGCTTGGTCGGTAAATGCTAGGACCGGTGTTACCTCGCATACCAAGCTGTGTTCGATACCGGCGAGCAAAATACTAAGAACCCATAAAAAGATGTTCCGAGATATTGAAATTTGTTCAAGCGTGGAAAAATGTATCAACCGTGTGGAATTTAAACCCTGCCTCCT